AAAGAGGACCTGTACAAAGAAAATTACAAAACACTAAAATCAGGAACAAGGCAAAAATGGTCCTTCTCTTTTTCAATACTGTTCTGAAGGTATTATATAATAGAATAAGACAAGAAAATAAATAAGGGACTATTGAGACAGTATAGTGGGAAAGGTGCTTGATTTGTATGAGGCTGATTCAGATTCAATCTCCAGCACCCCATATGGCCCCCAGAGTCTGCCAGAAGTAAAACTTGAGCACAGAGTCAGGAGTACACTAAAACTACACTGGGTGTGATCCAAAAACAACAAGAAGAAAGAAATAAAAGGTATACTAATTGGTAAAAAATAAATAAAATCAGTCTTTATTTGCAGATGACATAAATGTCTATGATGAAAATTTTAAAAAACAGACAAAAATATTCTTGGAACTAAAAGCAACTTTTAGCAAGTTTCAGTATACAAGGCTAAAGTATAAAAGTTAATAATTCTCTCATATACCAGCAATGACCAAGTGGAATTCGAAGTTATAATACCATTGAGGATAGTAAAAAATATATTTACGTAAATATATCAAAGTATTTATATGAGGAACATTTAAAACTGTTGAAGTGAACAGAGAGTCATTCTATGGCCACAAATAGTTGGAATATCATTCCTTCCCTATCAATGTGATCTATAGATTCAATGTAAAGTCCATTAAAATCTCAGCAACTAATTTAGCATATTTCAATATTCTCTATAATGAAAGACAGAATCTAACATTTATCCGAAAGTCAGTAGACCCAGAATTACCAGCATATCATTGTGGAAGAAGAAGTTAGAAGATTAACACTGTCTCACAACTAGACCACCATGCATAAGGAAGCAAAGGCAACATAACAAAGGCAAGACAGTATTTTCAACAAATATGGGACAATTAAGACAGCGACATGTGACAAGAAATGACAACTTTCACCAAAATAACTAAAAACTGGAACCTAGACTTAGCCAGAGAATACAAAACCTGAAACTCCTAGAAGGAAAATCTAGTCGGGCTTGGGTTTGTAATGACGTTAAAACACAAGGCCAACACTGTGACTGATGAAGGAAGTAACTGACAGGCTGCACTTCACTGAATCAAAATCTTCTCTGCAGAAGAGACTGTCAAGAGAAAGAGAATCTGTACCACAGCTCAGGGGAATATATTAATAAAAGACATATCTGATAAAGTAGTCTTCTTCAAAATATAAAAAACTCTAAAAACCCAACATAAGGAAAATGAATAACTCAATTAAAAAATGGACAAGACAATCTGAACAGGAACCTCAATGAAGAAAATATATAGCTGAAACACAGTGTAAGAAATTCTCGCCACCATGTGTCCAAAAGGACCCACACACTAAAGCTATGCAATATCACTACACACCTGTAAGAGTGACACGAATCCAAAATACTGACAACACCATGTGCTGATGAGCAGTAAGGATACACAGTTCTGCTGCAAACACAAAATGGTGCAGGAAGTTCAAAAGCAAGTTTGGCAATTTCTCAGAAAAGTTACCTCCACTCTGAATCTACGATTCAGCAACTGTGTTTCTGGTTATTCAAATGAATCAAAAACGAAGTAAACACCGAAACTTGCATATAGATAGTTTTAGCAGTTTTACTCATAATTGCCAAATTTGGATGCAACTGACTTAGTAATATTCATTTGGCATTCCTGTACATCTTTTCCTGGTTTAATAGCTCGTTTAGTTTTAGTGTTGAATACTATCCCATTGGAGCAATAGCACAGCAGGTAGCACGTTTGCCTTGAATGTGGCCAAGCTGGGTTAGATTCCTTTGCTCCTCTCGGGGAGCCCAGCAAGCTACTGAGAGTATCTTGCCTGCAAGGCAAAGCCTGGCAAGCTCCCTGTGATGTATTCGATATGCCAAAAACAGTGACAACAAGTCTCACAATTTTTTGTGAGATCTTATTGGCTTGAGCAAATTAATATGCCAATAACAGCGACAACAAGTCTCACAATTTGTTGTGAGATGTTACTGGCTCGAGCAAATCGATGAACAATGGAGGACAGTGCTACTTTCCCATTGTATGAAGGCAACACAGTTTGTTCAGCTTTTGCCTATCGATGGGAACCTGGTTTCTAATCCCATATAATGTCTCCCAGCTATGTGAAATTCTGGTGAAGTAAAACTATGGAGATGTGAAGGGGTCCATAGTTGCTAAGAGTTAAGGAGAAAGGAGGTAAGGGCAGCAGAACAAAAAAGGTTTTGGGGACCAGTGAAACTAGTCTATGAGACACTGTAATTACACATACATTACACATACATACATCATGCATTTTCCCAGATGCCCAACACCTGTGAAAACTGAGTGCTAACTCAGGGTCCATGTGGATGGGCCCTTCTAAAATCTAGGGTGGCGTGAGTGAGATGGAATCTATGTACAGGGCCGAGGACACTGGGAAATCCCTACACCTTCTACCCAGTTTTTCTCTGAACCTAAAACTGCTATCAAATTCCCTCTGCTTAAAACCAAAGTTTCTGGGTCAGTCAGGTCTCTGAGGGCCAAGCACAGCGCTGTTACAAACCTGGTGAAAGCAAAGATCACACACACACACACACACACACACACACACACACACACACACACACACCTCAGGCATAAGGAGATCAGTGAGCTATAGAGCAAGGACGGTCATGTGTCCAAGGTGCTGGTTGATAGGTCAGGGGCTTCTCAAACAATAACAACTACCAAGAAATCTCCAGAACAGGCCAGGCTGCCAGGTACCAGTGCTCTCTTCTGAATTCTCCATTCTACTCCCCTTCACCTGCCCTTTGACACTCAACCTGCCTTCCTTGGTCCTGGCCACCGACCCCAGGACCCCATGAGTGTGCTTTAGTCTCTTCCTGAGGACATGCATGAACCAGCCACCTCGGGACCGCCCTTGGCAGCTGTGTCTGACTTAGCCCCTGGCGCCCTCTAGCGTCAGAATGCTGGGTCTGGCCTCCTGAGCATCACAGCTTAGGTTGGCAGGTCAGGAAACGGAGATGGTCCTTGAGGACACTGCTTATTTGCTACTTTTCAGCTTTTGAAATATGGGCCACACCCAGCAGAACTCTGGGGGCCAGTGGAGCCTGCAGCATTTGGGGGGAGGTGGCAGGGAACAAACTTTGGGATGAGCACACGGAAGCACAAATCCTCTCCTTAAACCAGGTTCCTGACCTTCATTTTTGTTTTGTTCGCATTACTTTTAAGGTCACATCTACTGGGGCTTGGGGGGACCCTAATGGTGTCGGGTATTGAACCTCGAGCTCCAGCATTCAAAGCCTATGCTTCATCCCTTGGAGCCTTCTCTCTATAATCACCAGCCCCCACGTTTTTTTTAACCTCTAAATGGCTATTTCCCTCAAAGAGTCATGTGGTTAATTTCATTTTATTTTTAATCAGAATGACATGTCAGTTCACATGGTTGGCATGTGATGGTGACTGGACGTGTGCTGCAGATTCTGCAGTCCTATAAGCAAAGTTGGCCAAAGAAGGGTTCGGCAGTGAGCCGCATAGGGTTCCCAGAGGCTGGATGAAAGGACTGGGGGGAACAGCCAAGTCCGAACAGCAGAGGCATGAGAGAGCCATGTCAATATTCTCTAGAGAACCTTCTGGTCCTGGCCTCCCTGGGCCAGGGGAAGCAATGACCCCACCCTGGGCAACCTTGTCCCTCCCATCTCTCCTGGAGCCATTCATCACCACGAGAGCTTGGCACGCTGGGCTTCTCCCAGGCTACTCCAGGGACCCCCAGTCCTGGCAGCACCGTTGGTGAGGCTGAGGTGCTCAACACATCAGTATTTATGAGATGATGGTCCCCTCAATTAGGTTCTCTAGATAGATCAATAATTAATACATTAACGAAGAACCAGACATCACCTCATCGGCTTCCTAGCCAAAGCCAGCTCTGGGCTTCCTAGAATCCCACTGAGCTTTCCAAAAATGCATGGTTCCTCAGCTACCCAACGCGAGAAAATGCAAGAATCCTGCTCCCTTCCTTCCCTCTGGGCTAAGGGAGGGACCTAGCAGGCAGGAAGAAGGACTATCTTAAAAGGTAGAGTGAGCAGAACTGGAGAGTTGATCCACAGACCTGAGCTTAGGAGGTGAGGATAGAAGGGGGGGACAGGGTATTGAATGGAAAGGGCCTTTGGGGCAGAGGCAGAGGGAAGTGGCATTCTGGTGGCAGGTGTAGTGTTAGAATGATGTATGCATGAAACCACCACTAACTCTATTATGATTCACTTTACTGAGATATAAAGATGCTTTTTTTAAAGGTGGAGTCAGAAACCAATGAAAAATTACAGCAGACAAGTTCTTGCTTTGATGCAGCTGACCTGGGATCGATTCCCATCACCCCATATGGAACCCCGAGTGCTGCCAGGAGTGATTCCTAAGCACAGAACCAGGAATAAGCCCTGAGCACTGCTGGGTGTGACCCCCCAAAGAAACAAACAAAAATAACTAACAAGGGGGAGTCACCCCTTCTTCCTGCCAGTTTCCTCTCTGAGGGTGCATACAGGGACGGTTTGGCCGGGGCACATCCCTCCAGGCAAACCTGGAAGCCCCTTTCCAGGCTGGGAAGACAAACACTTTCTTTTTAAAAACTCAGCCAGAAGAATAGACAAGATCACTCAATTTGCTGCAAATGTGGATGAAACCTGAGGGAAGGCAGAGAGGAGAGGACAGACACGGAATGATCTCGCTCATGGAGAAACTTAGCTGGGGAGGAGGAACAAGCGGCCAAAGACCCAAGACCCTGAGAATCTGCCAACAGAGCCGAGTTTGCCAAGAGGGTGGGGTGTGGGTAGGAAGGACCTGGGCATATGGGTGGGGGGCACTGTCCCTCTGGCGATGGGTGTGGCGCTGGAACATCCCGGAAACCCTATTATTAACAGTCATGTAAATCAAGGCGCCTCCATAAAAACGGGAAATAACAGTCAAAGTAAATGAAGAGACAAAGAGTGTCGGAGGGGTGGCCGGGAGCACTTACCTTTGCACTGCAAGCCCTGTCGCAGGAGGCCCCAGAGCAGGGAGCCGCAGTGGTCGCAGAAGGTGGGGACCTTGTAGTTGTGGATCCCAAACTTGTGGGGCATGTTGACGCTGAAGCGCTGGGAGCCCACCTGCAGGACAGCGGAAGGACAGGGGAAGGCAGGTCAGCACCGGCTCCTCCAGGCCCTGGCAGGTCAGCAGGTCAGCACAACTTCCGGCCCAGAAAGTACGAAAGCCGTTGCAGGCGGCAGGCCCTGGGTAGGTTCTGAAACCTGCCCTGAGGAAGCCAGTGGACAGGGCCTCCCTCCAGCCCTGTCCCCAAGGCCTGCTGTCCCGATGCCCTCACCATGATCCGTGACAGGTGGCCTGACCTGGCCAGGCCTGGGCTGCTCCCCATGTGGCCACTCCTCCCCAAGGACCCGGAGGAGACACAGCTCTCTATTTGCACCCCACACTCGGGTCACCGATGAGACAGCACCCCATGCCTCGATACTTTGTCTCAGTGGCTGGACTGTGGGCAGATGGGTGGAGAGCATGGCTCTGCAAGGGCACTGGGGTCCATCCGCAGTTGGGCCCATGGCAGGGATGAGCAGTAAGTGTGGTGGAGGCTGTTAGGGCAGCGTGGTGAAGCTGAGTACTGACCACTGCTGGGCACCTCTGCCGGTCAAACCTCCTCACTGCCCACTGACCGGTGCCCATGCTTCACCTGAGTCTATAGGGGAGGACAGGAATAGACTACAAAACTGACACCTGATCAAGGTTAGAAGCAGGATTTGATGTCCAAGAGGCAGATCTCCCTCTCTGGTAGCCCCAGTGACCACCTATCGGTCATTTCCAAAGGATCCCGGAGTCCTCCTGGAAATTGCTGTGAAGTCCCACACAAGCTTCCTGGTTTCTCAGGGACCTGGACTCCTTATGTGACAGATGAATATGTTCCCCCTAACAACACAGGAGTCACCAGAGGTCAAAGAGGGGGAAAACGTGTGTGTGTTTGTGTGTGTGTGTGTGTGTGTGTGAGAGAGAGAGAGAGAGAGAGAGAGAGAGAGAGAGAGAGAGAGAGAGAGAGAGAGAGAGAGAGAGAGAGAGAGAGAGAGAGAGAGAGAGAGAGAGAGAGTGTGTGTGTGCACCACCATGCACGAGGTCTTTTAAATGAGCGAACTCACATGTTGGTCCCTTGCAGCAGGCAGCACTGTGCCCTGCAGGGGACATCAGGCTCCCTGAGGACCCAGAGAAGCCGACTCCAAGGAAGCCAGGCTTTGGGGAGCAGCAGAGAAGACTGAGTCACCGGAGCTTTCTCCCAGAACACAGGCCAGCAAACACACTTCCGCGGTGCCTTCCCGTGGCTATGTTGGGGCAGGCACAGAGGAGCTGGTCGCAGATTGAGCTGGGTTTGGGACATTTCAAGTCTCAGCCCCCTCCCTGCATGGCACTGGCTCTGATGGCATCTTTCCTCTTAAGACCTATGGAAGAAGTTTACAAGGGGGGTGGAAGAGGTGGGCTGAGCGCTTGCCTGACATGAAGAGGCTGGGCTCGGTCCCTGCTCCATGCCCTTCTGAGCATTCCATGACCCTCCTAGCACTATGATACAACTGAGCGCTGACAGAGGGGCTCTAGGATGCAAGGTCCAAGCAAGCCCACCTTTGTGGCTCCTGCATTCAACTGACAGCTTGACTGGCTGAGTACCACCAAGGGCAGCTGCCGAGTCCTCATTAAGAAAGCATCAAAGGAGAAACAGGCTTTCACTGTTTTGTCGAATTATCTTGCTTCTGGACATTGCCCTAGAGTCAGCCCCACACTTAGAGGCCACATGCAGTGAGGCCAGGGCCAGGCCTGGACAGGTCTCCCTGGACTTGAATGTGGGTCTCTCACACTCGTTGTGTGATTTGGGCCATTTAGTGGGACCTGCCCATGTGTCTAATCTCTCTTCCATCACTGAAGAAGGCACAGCAGCTGGCTTGGTTTTGAGCTCTGGGATTAAATCGTACACGATAAAGTGCTTGAATCAGGGCATGGTACGTGTCCGTGGATGTTGGGACATTGGTTTCTCTGGTCATATCAGTAATTTCTCTGGTCATTTCAGACTCTGAAACATGTCCTGGATTTAGTAATTCCAGGCTTTTTCATAAAGATGAGATTCATTGCTTACGAGCTGGGCGGTGCCACGAATATGCCAGCCACTTCAGGGTTTTGATGAGATAACAATATACAAATTCACCTTCTCCTTGCAAGACTTAATTCTGAGATCATACTGCTCTTGGCCTAATAGCCATGGACATAAAACTGACGTAGGCTGGAGATCATTTTGCAGATGGGGCCTTGCACTGGAAGACCACAGTCAACACAATGAAGAAAGATAAGCGTTTTTTGGCGGAGCACAGAGGAGGTGATGGGGGGTGGGGTGGGCGGTGGTAAAGAAAGCCCAGCATGTCAATGGTATAAATATTTACCTCGTCAGGAGTTTCCTGTTTCTTTAATCCAGCACACTTCGTAATTATCAGCTCATGGCATCGCTTGTGGACCACGCAAGTGCAAACTGCAAATAGCAAAACACAGCCAGGCTGAGTTACAAATGGGGGAGGCAAGCTTCCATGGAAGATTCAACCAGTGATGACGAGTGGGTGAGTGGGTGGGTGGATGGAGGGTTGAAGGCACCGTGCCCCTCACGCTGTTCCCCACGCTGTAGCCCTGTATGCAGACAAGTCAAGCCTTCTGTCATTAGCACCTTAGGGCTTCCTAAATGCTCTGGAGAAGAACGGACCATTTCTGTCCAGCGATGTTCTCTAGTTCCAGGAAGGCCCAATGACATTCTGGCGTCTGAATGTCAAGATCAAGGAGCCACTTTCTTCCCACGAGGCCCAGCCTGCTGAAAGGACCACGGCCATGCCCTGCTCTGCCCAGACCCACGCCAGCACGGCCAGTGGGATGAGCAACCACGGCATATGATGTCCAGGACACAGACATTCTTACAAGTTCTTATCTTAGCGGTGCCTTTGCCTGCCAAACTTAACAGTTTTCATGTAATCCAATAGTTCCACAGGGAGGGAAGCTGCTTTGTCTTGCCAGTCTTGAGGCATGCATTGGCTCAAGAGGAAGGTAACTGTTTGCCTCTATCAGAGGACATGGAAATGCCCACAGAAAGATGTCAAGTCCCCTGGGGCCTAGCCTGAGCCCTAGCCACAGAGCACCCTGATGCCGGACAACTTAAGCCCATATTCAGTTCAATGAAAGCACATGGGCGGCCTTCACTGGAATCAAGAGAGGTTTGAATATTTAAGAAGCAATTACTTGAAAGGAAGACGAGCAAACGAGCAAGGCTCTGGGAAAGGAGCATGTGAGGGACATCTGGGAAGAAGGGGGTGGGAGGGCTGAGCGAATGCAGAGACCCCTACCTCAGTGCCCAGCCAGGCCCGCAGAGGACCCAGCACTACGTCCTGGGTTCCTCTAGGAGACAGAAGAAGGTACTTCTCACTTGGGCTGACACACGAGGGCTGGGACCCCCTGGAGCCCCGGAGATGGTGCCCACAAGTTCCTCCCGCCCATCACTATGCACTTCCACATAGGCACATGAATGTGGGCCAGTGGCCACATAGGGACAGGAAGCAAAGGTGTCTCAAAGAGGGAGCTGTGACTGGGGCCTCCCCGGAGCAGGAGTGAACAGGATGGACACCTCCCCCCCCCCACACACACAGAATTCGCTCATATAATATTTCCTACCTTGACATTGGTATCCCTGTTTTCCTATGACACCCCTGAAATGAAGAAGACAACATTTTAACAAGAGAATAGGTTAGGAAATCCCAAACCACGCAAAGCCACCTCATTCTGGCCACTGTCTCATGCATGGAGCCCCCTGGGGTCCCCTCAGCAGTGCCATCTCCCAGTGCTCCAGATGGGAGTAAGATGAGTTCAGGGTCAGGGTCAGGTCTGGGTACCTACACAACCATAGGGTCATAAGATGCCCCCAGACTATTCTTGGCAGGCCTCTGTTGGCAGAATGTTCCCCCTGGACAGCTGTGGAGTGGGCACTGTCCGGGGGCATTCCAGAAACTGACACGGGCTCCAGGCTAGTACACTGCCAGAACTGGGGCCCTGGCTAGAGTCAGTTTCCTTTGATGACTACAGCAGGTTCCTGGGGCAGGTTTGGGGTTTTCCCAACACAGAAGGAACCATCCCAGTGGCCATCCACAGAGCAGGCCTGAGGACCCCCTTCTAGTCACTGGGAGGCCAGAGGCTCGGAGGGGCCCTCCACAGACACCCCAAATCCCAAACCCGCAAGCCATGGCCCAGATAGAAGCCAGAGGGTTGCATGGCCCAGGAGAGAACCTCCTGGGGGGATGGAGTGGGGCACTATTTTTGCTGCAGTGAATTGAGTTTGCTCTGAGCCAGGTCATCTCAGCTGCCCAAGGCAGCCTCAGGGATTTGATCTAGAAGAGTATCAGGATTAAACAAGCCACTTCTGGACATCACAAGAATCCAGGGAGTCCTCAGAGGTCCAAATCCAGTATCTCGAGGCTACACCTGGGCCTGATTTGCTCCTCTGCCACCTGGATGCAGGTGTGCAGGCAGCTTCCGGAAGGCTGGTGAAGCAAGCATGAGCCGAGCCAGACCCGGGGGTACATCGGGGCTCTGCCAGTCCCTGCTGAGAACCTCAAAAGGTTTTCACCAAACTGCTGACTCCCGGGAGTATGGTCGTGAATGCAGTGGGTCAATAAACCAGGTATTATTCTAGGTCATGGGGTTCTAGGAAGATGCACTGGACATTTCCACAGGGAGAAGCTGGCACACAGTGGATCACCAGGAACAGTTCTCCTCTGAACTCCAAGGCCAGACTCCTTGTTTCTCTCCTCCTACCTGAAGGGCTGCTACCTGGAACTGCCTATCAAAATCCCAATTTGGGAGCTGGAGGGTTAAGACGCTTGCCTTGTATGCAGTTGATGTTGGTCTGATACCTGACACCACACATGGTCCCCAAGTCATCAGGAGTCATCTCTGAGCACAGAGTCAGATGTAAGCCCTGAGCACAGCTGGTGTAGCACCTCAACCCCTCATCCATTCCCCAAAAACATCCCACTCACCATGACAGGAGAAATGTCTCCTTTTGCAGGAAGCCTTCCCTGAGCACTTCAGGCAATACAAGCCTCTCATTTCTAACTAACACTGTTCCAACAGTTATCAAGAACTGCTTTGTAGGACTGAGACTGGCAACTGTGTAATTATTTAAATTTTATGGAAAAAAATTCAGGTCCCATCTCAAAAACAACATGATACTGCCTAATTCTCCCAGGTAGACTGGTGGGGCTGAGAACTCTGGGCCTTCCTGGAATGGGGGTGGGGCAGATTCCCCTTTCTGCCTGAAGGCACAATAGCCCCCCCAGCCACACCCAACACCTCCAACACAGAAATGCCCCAGCTCCACAGTTGAACCTCACTGAACTGCCAAGCCACCAAACTGTTCAGCTCTCTAGCGCCTGGACCACGTGACCACATACATGGCTGCATGACGCCTTCAAGTTTCATCCTGCTGTCAGCCAGTAGGATCACAGCAAATCTTATGGGAAAGTTACAGAGAAGCCCCCAAGTTCAGTGAGTCTAAACAACAGCCTAGAGCACTCAGCGAGCGCGAGGCAGCACAGCAGAACCCCAGACAAAGGCTTAGGTAGCACCACGGTGAGACATAACAGTGATCAAAAATGGACTCCTACTATCTCAGTTTTAATAATTCCATTTGCCTTTGTGTGGTAACAAGCAACACAAAGTAAAGTTATTTGTGCCTGCAAGGGGGTGTAGCACTTCACACCCAACCCAAAAGGGGTGGGTGTGAAACTGAAGACACTGGTGGAGAGGAAGGCACACTGGTGGTGGGATTAATGCTGAGTGCCTGAAGCAACTCTATTACGAACAACTTGGTCAGTCCTGGGGCTATGATCAATTTTTTTAAAGGAAAGAAAAACTTCAAATGTATACGCAAAAGTTGAACGATCAATACAAGGTTTTCTCCATGTCCCTGTCTCTCAGAACCCCCCATGATCAATACAAGGTCAGTCTTATTGCATTTCTACCCAGCCCTTCCTGCTTCCACAAATCCCAGACCTTAGATCATTCCAGTTGTAAATAAATCAGTTTGCCTGTGTAAGAGAAGAAAGGATTTGTGTTGCTGTTGTTTGTTTTGGGGTCACACCTGCAGTGCTCAAGGGACCATGTGGTGCCAGAGACTAAACCCAGGTCTCCTGCATGCAAACACACACTGCAGTCCACGGAGCTATTCCTCTGGTCCAAATGATAAGGACTCTAACACACACACACAATTAAGATACTATGACTTGTTGATAAATGTTTAACTCCTTAAGTATAATAGGACAGGCTCTTAAGTATAAAGTCACTAGAAACTGCACTTTCTTCCATCCATGCTGAATGTTCAATCCCAAACTCTCGCTAGCCTTCCAGAGAAGTCTTCCGCATCCAAGAAAGCATCCCACCTGCTTTCTGCCCAAAGTTCCCATCTCCTGCACCCCGGCCCGACGGCTGGCCTGGAGAAGGTGCAGCTGCATCTATTAGAAGACAAGTTCTTACCAGATAAAGTCTCTGCAGTGGGAGCAGTAGGTGGGCTGCCGAAGGTAGGTCGCCATGAACTTGTGGCCGTTGACCTGGTGGACCCTGCGTCTGACAGCCCCCTGTCGCTTCCTGGGCCGCAGGCGCTCCCGGAACACACGCTCTTCATTGTCTTTGGGGGCTTCGGAGAAAGAGAGAGAACAGAGAAGAAATCAGGTTCAGCAGCCCGTAAGTTTGGACATGATTTCCACAGGGAGGGCTCAGTTCCTGGGGTGGAGGGGAAGCAGCCTCAGCTGGGGCTGGACTCTGGGGTCTGCAGAACCTCCAGCAGGTGGACAGCACCTGTGTCCTCCTGCCCGCCCTACTCCAGAGTAGTGGCGCAACCCAACACCCTCCCACCTCAGCTGCAGAAGGTGGGGGCTAAGGTCAAAAAGCTCAAGGGCATAATTTGGTTGCAAGTTCTGAGCAGGATGATGGGAGATGTTCCCTGCTGAACCTCTGTGGGCATGGCCTCTGTACAGGGGGGTGTCGCAGAGCCCACCCACAGGGCACTGTCCTGCTGTCTTTCCACAGCACCCCACTGCCTGGTGCAAAGAAGCTATTGAAACAATCGGACTCTTCACCCTCCTTCTCCCTCTTGCCCACACTAGGTGACTGAGAGACCCCTTTAAAGTTCAAAAGGGGAGGAAAACATAACTCCATGGAAGCTTCTAGAAGGTGTAAATCTCCTCCCTCTGAGAGTCCATTGGATGGAAAGGACCTTCTTCATTTCTTCCTGCCCTTGCACCTCAGAGGCTACCCCAAACCTAAGAACCTGAGAAATGACAATGGAAATGGAAATGGTGTCTTATGCCGACACTCCTCCCCATCAAGCTGTGCGTTGAGGTTCTAGCCCCTCCCATGTGAGGGCAGAGAAGGCAGCTGCTGTCGACAGGCTGGGAAGGGAACTCTCCAAACCCAGACACCTCCACTTTGCGTGTCAGACTTCCAGAACATACACAACATTGTTCACACTCACACGTGCACACGCATTAAACACATGAGCACACATTATACACACACACACATTAAGCATGCGCACAAATTACACACACGTGCATACACAAACATGTGGTAGTGGGCACAATGGTGCAGTTATAGGTGAGTTCAATTTCCACGTCATACTTTTTGCTCAATGTAGACGATTCTATTGTTAACAAATAGAAAAAGAAAATACGCCGGTTTCAAAACCAAATCTGTTCAGTAGCTCTTAATGCTTTGCTCCGTCCTGATGCCTACAGCTGGCTGATTCGGGCCTGAGGGTGGGGATGAATCAGCGTAAAAGGCAGCTTTGCACCGTCTTTATGGACAGACTCACCTAGGGGTACATTTACAACAGAAGCAGACCCCTACCCTGTGCATTTCATAGGCAATTTGGTTTACAAACCCCTCAATTCTATGACTCATTCTGAGCCCAGCAAATTGTACTTTCGGTTGAAAGAGTGATGAGTTCCATCTCATTTTCTCAGCATGCTCAGCTCTGAAGCAGGGAGGGGTCTCTATTGTCCCCATGGCCTTATTTCTGCCATTTTCGCAACAATCAAAGCAAGTGCCCAAAACTGTCTTTTCTCGGGGCCCGAGCAGCAGTGCTGGGAATTAGGGCATTTGCATGTAAGGCAGCTGGTGCAGTTCACTCTGAAGTGCCACAAAAGGCATCACCACTGAGTATTGCCAGAGTTTAATACAGAGCCAGGAACAGGCTCTGAGTACCATTGGTGTGGCCTGGCCCCTTTCCCCGCTCAAGAAACCAAACAAAAATAAACCACTTTTTTTTCTTCACTGATTTAATAGATAAAGGCAGCAACCAGGAAGAGAAGGGCCACATGGAGGGCGGGACCCACAGCTCCCGGAGAAAAAGAAAAAAACAGGTTCCATAAAGAGCCGAGATCATCGGGAAGTCCCAGATGGGGTAGGTACCGCATCCCGCCTCCCCCAGATGGAACCCCGGTGACCAGAAGCCTCTATAAGCACAGCTCGAGTATGCGGAAACTAGGACTTTTCCTCAAAACCGCACATAAGCGGCCGCGCAACATCTCTCTATATACAAAGTGATCAATGGGAAGTAAACCACCCAACATTTCTCCCTGAAAATCAGAGTTAAGTTTGGAGCACGGCCACAGCCCCAGAAACACAAGGACTTAATGCAGAACCCAGCAGCTTGGAGCAGAAAAGTGAACAGACTATGCGTTAATCCAGGCCATCATGTCTGCCCGGAGGGGAAAGGGTGTTGCTTCCTTCCGCCCTTCTTCCTCTGGAAAGAAAGATGGCGGCCACATGGGAGCCTTGTGGACAGCAGGTATGAGCCGGGGGTGTGGGGGCGACTAAAACCTCATGGGAAGGGGGGCGTTCCAGTCCGTCCTTCACGCCCTACCGAGGTCACCAGTTGCCCCCCACGAGCGGCTCTCCAGCACAGCCACGGCCCCAGAAGCACAAGGATTTAATGCAGAACCCGGCAGCTTGGAGCAGAAAAGTGAACAGACTATGCGTTAATCCAGGCCATCATGTCTGCCCGGAGGGGAAAGGGTGTTGCTTCCTTCTGCCCTCCTCCCTCTGGAAAGAAAGATGGCGGCCACACGGGAGCCTTGTGGACAGCAGGTATGAGCTGGGGGTGTGGGGGCGACTAAAACCTCATGGGAAGGGGGGCGTTCCGGTCCGTCCTTCATGCCCTACCGAGGTCACCAGTTGTCCCCCGCGAGCGGCTCTCCAGCACAGCCACGGCCCCAGAAGCACAAGGACTTAATGCAGAACCCGGCAGCTTGGAGCAGAAAAGTGAAAGGACTATGCGTTAATCCAGGCCATCATGTCTGCCCGGAGGGGAAAGGGTGTTGCCCCATTCGCCCTTTCCTCCCTGGAAAGAAAGATGGCGGCCGCATGGGAGCCTTGTGGACAGCAGGTATGAGCCGGGGGTGTGGGGGCGACTAAAACCTCATGGGAAGGGGGGCGTTTCGGTCCGCCCTTCACGCCCTACCAAGGCCACCAGTTGCCCCCCATGAGCGGCTCTCCAGCATGGCCACGACTCCAGAGCACAGAAACCAATTTCTTAACTATCTGACTTTCAGTAGAAATACTTCCAGGGTCAATAAGTAAAATAGCAGAAATCCAAAACCAAAATTTAATTCTTGAACCCAGCTGTAGAAAGCAAATCACTTCACAATGCTTTTTCAGCATGTCTGATTTGGGGGGGGGGGTAAACTCTAAATAATAGTGGTGAATCTTTTAATGAAACAATGAATCTAATCAAAGCAGATAGAGTGTTAACTAGAATTCATCTGCTTCACAGGGACTGGGAGGGGTGGGGGGTGGGGTCTTATTGGGGTTCTTCATGGTAAAAAATAAGTATTGGTAAAGGGAAATGCGTTTGATATTTGCATGACTGAGACCTAAACCTGAAAGCTTTGTAACCTTTCCCACAGTGATTCAATAAATAAATAAATTTTAAAAAAAAGGCAGCAACCAATGGATTGAATTCAATTTCCCTCTAAAACCCTCTGAAGGAGGCTCTGAGAGGAAGTTGCCAGGAGTTTATGCAGGGGAAGGTGGTTCCAGCAGAGGTTGGAGAGACCTACGTGGGGCTGTTTCTGGAGGAAACTCCCCAAAGGGATCAGAGACCCCCTGTCCTGGGGCACATCCATGCTACCTTTCCAGGCAAGCACTCTGTCCAAGAAATGGGAAAACAGAAGCTACAGGAGAGGAGGGGCAAGTGGTACAGGCCTCGCCTTAGGGAGCTGTGTGGGAGGGACGAGGAGATGGGGAGCCCTGCCTCTGGACAGGGTGTCCTGTGCAGCTCTTGGACCCGCTTTTGCCTTGCGTGTGGTCCAACCCATTCTGAGCACCTCTCGAATGATCCCTGAGTACAGGGCCAGGATGAGTCTCCAAAGCCACCAGCTGTGGTCCAAACCCCTCTCAAAGTAAGAATCCTTCTGCTGCTACTATGGTGGCATTGTGCGTTTTGATATGTAGAAGAAATGTTCTCGAATGTTCTTTGAGGACTTTCTTAAGCAGTTCATTCTGCCTAGTCCATTAGTTAATTTGTCCCCCCCCTCCCCCCGCCCCAAGCCCCTAGAGGAGTGAGGGCTTCTCACATGAACAAGGAGGCTTTGGCCCAGAGCAAAAGAGGCAGGACCAGATGGGCCTGAGTCAGTGAAGAGTTACCCAGACCTATTTCCCCCCTACAAACCTGTACCTTGAGCTGCTGTTACCAGATGCGTTGGCCATGCCCACCTCACCCCTATGTGCTGCAGCCCCCAAGGTGTGCCCAAGGCTGGTTTTCCTCCCATGGCCCTCCAGCCCCCTTCCAGATCCTATTGGCAGCGGCAGCCGCCACCCAGCAGAAAGGATCACCCCCAGTCAGAAAGCAGCAAAGTTGACTAACTGTGGGGACACTTTCTGTGAAATAAAGGCCTAGAATGGTCAAATGGAACCACAAAAGCACAAGCCCGCATGAAGTTCAGCAGAGAAGGCCCCGCTGTAGGTGCGAGAGGCCCAGTCAGCCAGCCTGAGACAATGCTCCTTGGGTATTCTCGCCTTGGTTTCACCAGCTATGGATAAATCAGAAACTTTCTGGAGCTTCATGGCCAAGGAAAATCTTACAGACCCCTGATACTCAGAGCAATCTGTGACAGGCTGCAGTCAGGCGACAAGGAAAGGGAGCCAATGTCTGCAGGTGTCATTCTGTCTCTCCACTCTTCTAGGTCCCCTGGGCATAGGTAGAGTCTCAGTTTAGACCATGGGGATACCCACAGACTTGGCAGAGCCCCCAAACCTGGTATTCTGCCTTGTTTGGACATTGAGGATCTTTCTGCTCCAGCTCACTCTCCTGAACAGAAGGGGGACAGGGGGACTGAGTCTCATCCCACACATCAGGCCAAGAGCCCTCAACTCAGCACTCTTGGTCTGGAGCACAGGGTAAAGAAATCTCAAACAGATGTAACAGTGCTTGCTTCCAAGGCCTGTGAAAAAGACTCTCAAAGTCAAGATTCAGGCTTGTCTGCGCCCCTTGACTTGGGAGTTGGGAGCAGAGGTGTAGGACCGGCTATCTCTGGCACCACTAACCCGCCACACTGTGGCATGTGACACCCCTCCTGGCTCCCATCTGTCTCTTTCCCATAAGCCAGCAGGCCATCACCATGTTGGCTTGGCCTG